CAAGAGTGTCCCACAAGAGTGCCCCACAAGAGTGTCCTACAAGAGTGTCCTACAAGAGTGTCTCACAAGAGTGTCCCACAAGAGTGTCCTACAAGAGTGTCCCACAAGAGTGTCCTACAAGAGTGCCCCACAAGAGTTTCCTACAAGAGTGACCCACAAGAGTGTGCTACAAGAGCGTCCTACAGAGTGTCCCGCAAGAGTGTCCTACAAGACTGTCATTCGGACATATTAGTTTTTTCGAACGTGTTTGCATTCGGGTTCGTGGGTTCCATCTTGTTCAAAATATATTTGCTTTTGGAGGATATGTCAAGGTGGGGGCTCCAGGGACCACCAAAATAATTAACAGTTATCGCCCAAAGCGCCTCAAATATTTATGAGACATTGATGACCATTGTAACCTCCATAAACCAAAAACGTTTTTTGAAGTGCAAAAGTGAAAAGTGAATACTCTCAACTACTTAGTGAATGCCACACGAAAAACAAGAGCTGGCTGGTGAATGCTGATTTGGACAGTTTGCAGCCATTAAATTATTTAACCAATCGAGACTAGTCAAAATATATGGCTACCTCTGAGGGTATAAATAATTTCACTATTGTTTGAGGTAGGGGACCTTTCGTGGCAATCACATCATGTTGTGAACCTCGAAGTCCAGATTTCGGGGCACGCGCAGCACTTTGTGAACCTCGAAGTGCAGATTTCGTGACAGACACAGCACTTTGTGAACCTCGAAGTGCAGGTTTCGAGGCAGGCGCAGCACTTTGTGAACCTCGAAGTGCAGATTTCGTGACAGACACAGCGCTTTGTGAACCTCGAAGCGCAGGTTTCGTGGCAGGCACAGCAGTTTGCGAACCTCGAAGCGCAGATTTCGTGGCAAGCACAGCGTGTAGTGAACCTCGAAGTGCAGATTTCGTGGCAGGCGCAGCATTTTGTAAACCTCGAAGTGCAGATTTCGTGGCGGGCGCAGCGTTTTGTGAACCTCAGAGTGCAGATTTCGTGGCCGGCACACATGCTCACGCTCAGGCTCACACTCACACTCACTCTCACTCAAGCTCACACTCACTCTCACTTTCACACACACACACACACTCACACACTCAACTTGCTCTCACTCTCTCTCTCTCACTCTCTCTCTCTCACTCTCACTCACTCTCTCACTCACTCTCACTCACTCTCACTCACTCACTCACTCTCACTCACACTCACACTCACACTCACACGCACTCACTCACTCACTCATTCACTCACTCACTGCCTCCCTCACTCACTCACTCACTCACTTTCACCGCCACCACCACCGTCACCACGATCTCCACGTTCATCACCACCATCACCTCTCTGGACCAATGCGTCTATATAGATCTCTAGACTTTCTGCTACCACACTTTAGACCTCACACACACTGTTTGGGGTCTCTTGCCGGGATAATTTGTCGCTTTGTGATGTCTCACTGACTCATTCTGTCACTGGCTTGAAATGCAGGACAGCAGCAAAGAGAACAAGCGTCCTGATGACGAACTAGAGGCTTGTCGCATTTGACTTTTGAGCCCAGAGTTGCTGTTGGAGATGTTTGAATTCTAAGTGAGAAGGAAAATTGTGACAAAATCAGAACCAATACTTGTTGTTTTGTACAGTTTTCGACCCTCCAGTGATCCTGCTGAGTTTGCATAAGCCAGAGTGCCTTCATATGACCCGTTTCCAGATCTAGCAGGTTATGTGCATGATCTTGGAAACCCAAAAGGACGGACTCAGAGAACTCATGAAGTCAAAGTGTAAGCAAAACAAAACCAGAAAACTCATGAATGCCGCTCTTGGAGGCAACACCAGAGCCTATGGCACGAGTGTTGCGTTCCTCCTCCTGGACACCTGGGCGCAGAACCCTTGAGCTTGGAAATGTCTTGCAGGAGAGAAGTAGTTCTAAGTAGCCAGTCCTTTTGCAGCGAAGCTACTAGTAACAAGGGCATTACTACTAGTAGCAGGGGCATCGCTACTATTACCTGAAGAATAACTCTATTCTCAGATCTCTCGGGTCCAGTCTTCTGGATTGACTGGTTTGGTTCGCATCTTCTTGGTCCACACCACGCTGCTCAAAATGCCACAGGAGTTGGCCCTCACTGTGCCAGAAGAACTCTTGCACCAGGCAGATGAGTCTCTTGGATATTTTTGCATGTCTTAGCACATGTTCTGCAAACATATGAGATCATATGAGATTCCTGTTTCAGTTGTCAGATGCTTGAAGCCTTCTGAATGCTGCAGGGACAGACTCCAGAGTCACCACATTCAGAAGGCTCCCCACATCAAGATGTGCAGAGCCAGGCAGGTTCTTGCCTTTGAGAGGTTTGATCAAGCCTTCCTGAGGGATCATGTTTATTTCAAATGAATGACACCAACTTGAGTTTAAGACCGGCCGGCAGAATGTGGCAGAGCTGGATGAGCAGATGGCCAGAAATGAAAGGCCAGCAAAGCGATTCTTTTTGGGCGTGATTTCCTTGACCTGGATTCAGAATTTGCTAACATGAGGTGAGTTTCAACTTCACAGTATGTCTCTCAACCCTTGAGGCACAACTTCGAGATCTACATCGATCCGGAGAACCGATAGCAAGACATCCTAAAATGTTCAGAGCGTGTATGTCTTCAAACTCCAAATATGTTCAGATCATTGTCTTGGAGGCTTTGATGAGCCAAATTCTGTCTCACCCGTGCAAAGAGAGCAAGATCTCACGACCACCTTGCAGTGGTGTTTCTCAACACCCTGTATGGAATCATAGGAGATCTGCAAGGAAGCTGTATTGTTGAATCGAAGCTTACGAGCAACCGGAAGGGTATGCTGAATTCTCATTGAACTCTCACAGCTTTGTGCAGGCTGAGATTGCTTAGTTGTTTTGTCGGGAATCAATCCTGAGCACACGAACCATTTGACATGGTGGATATTTTGCAAGAACTTACTAAACTTATTTTATGTCTTGTTGGCCATGCAATAATTGGTTGTATAAAAATAGTTTTACAACTATTGACGTTATCAGGTTGTTCCACACAATGTTCCACGTCTAGTCTTGTACTCAGGATTTGGAGACCTGTGGGGGAGGGCCAGGTCACACGGGGAAAACATGACGAGCGAGTTTCGAATTGCACAGATTTGATAGCACTTTCTTTTTCAGTTTGCAGATTTCTCACCTGCTTTCCGCCGCGGCCTTCCTCAGTTTCGCAGATCGGCTTGGCATCGAAACCAAAATAGTTCAGTCATGGCCTCCAGAGCACTGAGCAGCCCAGCCTTTGTGGGTGGAGCAATCCTTCCCTTTTCCGCGGCTCCACATTTCGGAACCGCCAAGACCAAAGCCACCGGCGCAGCACGTGGGACAAGTGGCAAATATGGCATCTATTCCTGTGCTGCGGCTGCAGCAATCACTACTCTCCAGGCCAGACGGATGAGGAATGTCAAAAGAGCAGCTTGTGGTCCAGCCACGACGGGTGTCCTCAACAAAGCTGAGAAGCTGCAGGTCCCTCAATTCCTATTGGGCAATGTCGACATTTTCATTTTCGATTGTGACGGTGTCATTTGGAGAGGCGACTCTGTGATTCCAGGGATCCCACAGGTAATTGACAAGCTGCGAGCTGATGGCAAGACACTCTTCTTTGTGACAAACAACTCCACCAAGAGCCGGGCCGGATACAAGTCGAAGTTCACTTCGTTGGGCTTGGACGTGCAGCCAGAGGAGATTTTCTCTTCATCGTTTGCTGCAGCAGCATATTTGGAGCAGACGAAATTCAAGGACACTGGCAAGAAGGTCTACATCATCGGAGAGAAAGGTATTTCTGAGGAGCTTGATTTGGTTGGCATCCCCTGGTTGGGTGGTGAGGGAGACAAAGACCAGGCACCGAACTTGGGTTCAGGAGGCAAAGTGGATGTGGACCACGACGTAGGAGCTGTGGTTGTCGGTTTTGACCGCCACATCAACTACTACAAGTTGCAATATGCCCAGTTGTGCTTGAACGAGTTGCCAGGTTGCGAATTTATTGCCACCAACATGGACCGTGTGACGCATCTGACAGATGCGCAGGAATGGGCAGGAAATGGGACTATGGTAGGAGCTGTCTCAGGTTGCACAGGAAGAGAACCAACAGTTGTCGGGAAGCCTGCTCCACTGATGATTGACTACATTGCCCAGAAGTATGGCATCTCCGATCGTTCCCGCATTTGCATGGTCGGCGACCGCTTGGATACCGACATTGCTTTTGGACGCAACAATGGCCTCAAGACATGCTTGACACTCTCAGGTGTTACAAGTGAGGATGAACTCATGGATCGGGTGCCCCGAAAGAAAGGTACTGAGGGAATCCAGCCAGAGTTCTATGTGGACACCATTTGCGACTTCTATGGCATCCGGCCATGAGAGCCAGTTCAAAATCCTATTTGTCAAATGCATCTTTGAGAGACGTCTGGCAACATGACTCCTGTGTTTAGAGCGTTCGCCTGTTGGGCAAGTCTTTTCCTGTAGTCTAGAGAACAGGCATTTTCTCGCATTGATGGTACAAAGTACCTTAAACGATTTTCCATTGCGAGCGATGTCATTGAGGCCAGTAGCTCAATCTTCACAGACCAAGTGGACTGTCTTGAGTGAGGAAGTGCAAAATTGGTAAGATGCTCAGCTGATAGAACAGGCAGGTTTACAGCAAGGTGACGATTCTAAATGCTTTCCGAATTGACTGGCAATGGTGCATTTAGTTTGGAACGTATTCGTATTTGTTTGTTTGCTTGTTTCTTCCTTCCTTCCTTCCTTCCTTCCTTTATTTATTTTCTTTTCTGTTCAAAACTTTTATTTGTTGTTGTTGTTTTCCGTTCTTTGCTGTTCTTTCCTTTTCTGTCCTTTCCTTTCCTTTCTTCCTTTCTTCCTTTTCCCCACCTGCCAGGTGAGAGTTGTTACACTTTATCAGAGCTGTCCTCTCCTTCCCGTCCTCTTCTCCTCGCCTCCTCCTCCACAAGTCCACAAGTACCAGATTTTAATGGGCACCACCGGGCCTCAACCGCGAGCGCTTGGGCACCGGCGGGCCTCAACCACGAGCACTAGATCGCCGTAGGCGCCACCGGAAAATTAAGCACAAGCGCTAGATCGCTGTGCAAGCCCCCGGGCCTGAACCGCAGTGGCCACCACCATTTCTCGGTGATGTTGAGGCAAAATCGCCGTCGGCTATCAGAAGAGTATTTCCATGGTGGGGATCACTCAAGGTGAAGTGAAGCAGCTAGCCTTTAAGCGTTCTTTGGCGAAAGTGTATTATGAGGTTCGGTGGAACCTCGCTGGAAGCATAGTTTTTCCTCCCTGTCTTTAGGTGCCGCTCGGGTCCGGTTTGTTCTTTGGGAAGGTAGGTTTCTGTTTTGCGCGGCTTGGAGGTGAAAGATCTGAAAGGCCTGACCGGTTTGACCTTTTGGTCTCGCTTCGCCCCTCGGTGCTGGGCCGCCATTTCAGCATTCTGCTGATGGGTCTGGTGACCGATCTCTTCCCAAATGTGGGCCGGCAGGTGTTGGGAACCACATCCATACTTTCCAGTGTTGATGCTGTGGGCCTTCTTGTGGATCTTAAGCACGACCACTTGCGCTTTACAGCTTTGATGGCAAATTGCATTTTTTGGAGGAGGCGCGTGCGTTTTGTGTGTGTACGTAACAATTGGAGTCACAGGGGTTCTTTTGAATTTGTTTTCAGCGGCGGGCCAGCGGGGTCCCAGAGGAGCGGTGGCCAACGAAGACCTCCTCCGGGATGCGCGCAAACGTACCCGCCAAGCTGGTTACCTGTTGTTCTCCCTGTGGTTTGCTTTCATTGTGGTTCATGTGCTTCTGCTACTAACCGTAACTTGCATTTCGTGTTTTTCGCTGGCCTCCAACCTTGTAGCGAGGGCCTCCAACTTTGCTGTGATGGCCTCCACCCTGCTAGTGGTGTGAGAGTGTTGCTGCTGTGAGTCTTTTTTCGCATGAAACCAACCACGGTGATGGCTTCCAACCTGTTGCGATGACCTAGATGCGCTGGCCTCCAACCTTGATGTAATGGCCTCCAACCTACTCTCCTGATACCTTAGGTTTTCACTTAGGCTGGCGTGTGGCAAACCGCGTCAGTCCATACACAATATCTCAAGTGTGTCTGGTTTCATGCCAGCCCAGGGTGAGCCCGAAGAGTGTTCTCTGTGGACCCGTCGAGCGCGGTTTTTTCCATGCTCCCCTGGCCCGGGAACATACGTGCCCACAGCAGGCGAAGTAGGCTTAAGCCAAAGTCACTTGCCAAGACCTGATGAACTATTGAAGCCAAGTAGGCAGCTATCAAGCAAGCCATTAGGTGACCGCAGCGGTCTTGAGTAGGCAGCCTTCAGGCACGCCACTACGTGGTCGCAGCAACCAAAGCTATTCAAGGTCCGTCGGGGCCTTAATCCCTTTCCTCCCCTTTCCCTTCCCCCCTCTTCCTGGATGCAACACTCAGGTACTCCCCTTCTTCCTCTTTCTCTTCCTCTTCCTCTTTCTCTTTCTCTTCAAACTGTGCTGAACAATATTGAACATGTTGTCACGCCCATTCAAAAGGGTTCTGATTTGTTTCTGTCATGGTCGCCATCGGGGTCATGACACGATCCTCCCCAAGCATGAATTTTTCCGCCGCATGCATCGCAGTTTGCCGGAAGTTGCTGGGTGACCATAACATCTATATGAAACATTGAGACGTTCGTTGCATGAACAAGTGTCAAAGTGAATGAAAGTCATTATTTGTAATAATGCATGTGGGTTAATCTAAGAAGAGTGTCATGAGCATACGATACTGGGCCAAAAGGCTGGAACAGGAGTGGAAGTTGAGCCGGCGGAGTATGCACAGCACCAAGAACGAATCAATGATAGCCAGCGATTGCTTTGATAGGGCTCCCTGAAAATGTCTTGAAAAGCCACACCGTCTCACACCTGTGATATGTAACCATGGTGAGTCGGGCCCCTTCGCGACGACAACCGCCCGCACCAGTGGCTTTCAGACAGAGGGACCCTCTGACAAATTGTTTAGTTATGTCTTACATGCAATTTGCAAGCATTGTTGGATATATATATATTTTTTTTTTGGACGCCCTTGAAATAGTATTTAGGGTGTCCAAATCATGTCCATCGATGTCGGCAAATCAAAGTCATTTGGACACCCTAAAGAATGTAGAATTTCAAGGGGTCAAAAAATCGAGTGAATATACAATAAGTTTTACCATGCGCGTGACTGAAATAAACTTGGAGATGGACGCAGCATGAAGTGGACGAGTGGAAAACACAGTCTCTATGTTTTGGGGGACCCATTTACAAACTGTTAATTTACTGTATGCCTTTCTTCCAAAGTTGTATTTTTGTTGCCAGCCATGAAACTGTACATTGTCCGGGGTGTCCAAATCACTTTAGTTTGCCAGCATTTTGTACAATAGATAATACCATTGCAACCAGCTGATGCATACGATGCTAAAACTATACAAGTGCAACCTGCTTGCTGATGCATATGATGCACTTCATGAAAAGTTTAAAACTAAGAGTGTTGAGAGGAGTCGTTTGTTTGCCTTCATAGATCATAGACCTGGCGATGCCAGTGATACGACAATCAGAAATATAGTCCAACATGCATGACATGTGAAAACCATCTGTTTTCCAATTTTTTACATTTCCACTCGTCTCCCAGACACCTGGTGACGCAGGATACGCATGTTCGTTCCCAAACGAAAGCGGCCCCCTAGCTAAAGCCATGTAGCCTTCGGTGCGGGCGGATTTGGTTGTGGCTGGGTTTGCTCAGCTTCATCACCCCTGTATAAGTCCTCCCGTTTTGCGGTTTCCATATGTTTTGCCTTTGGTTCAATAATTTTCATGACTATGGGTTTCTGCTGTTGGATGTTGCTACCTCATCTCGTGCTGATGTGACTTCTCTTTGCGTTTGCACGTTAGCATGTCCTGCCTGGCCGCTTTTTGTTGCGATATCGCTCTAAGAGCCTCCACAGTGGTGGCTCATGCCTTGGCAATGTTGCATTTCATTCATGCTGTTGGTGCTCAGGTTGGGAAGGCTGCAACCTGCACAACTGTGTAACAGAACCATGTTGAGGTTGCTAACAAGTGGCTCCAATATGATAAAGATCTTTTTTATAGTTATATAGTTTCCTTCTAAAACAGGTGGACGCTGTCAGTTTTCATGCTTGGAAGCCATTTTGAGGTTGAGGCATTCTCATGAATTGCCATCCGCATGACCTTTGGGCCCAATGTCAGGGACCCTTTGCCATGTAAGGTCCTGGATGGAGCTGACCCGCCATGATTGCATGGTAGATCACGGTCATCAGGTGGACATGACTGTTGAGAAGACTCCAAAACATCATGCAAAACAAACGACTTGTCGAGGCGGCCCTTGTACTCGGACTGAGGCTTGTCAGCGTCAAATGGCGTGTTGCCAGGCGAAGCCATTGGGGCGCTATACCAGCCCTCTGTGGCATGCATGCATTCTGGAAGTCTACAATCGCTCCCATCTCCGTCAATGTCTGGGCGGAAAGAAGTAGTGGCACTCCAGGGGCACCAATGGAGTGGACGTTCAAGGTCATGAACTGGCCGTTGACCGACTGTGGCAGCTCGACCAAAGATTCAGCTTTCTGAATTTTGCCATTCCGAACCTGAAGGCCTTCTGCTGGGGGTGCACTGTCACAGGTTCTTCACCAAACTTGAGGATGCGAGCATTCATGATCTGCTGAAGGGCCTCAAGTGAAGCGATGCTATCCGTCGCTCCTGAATCGATGACAGCACATCCAGGGAAGGAGCCAGTCAAATTGGCCAGCGCGTCCACCGTGTCCTCATCGGAACAACTGAAGATCGAGCCGATGAAGTGAGCCGTAGAGGTCGGTCGGTCACTGGTGCGCTTGGGACAACTTCGAAAGTCATGGTCTTTGGAGCCGCGCGCGAAGCAGCCCTTGTATTCTGGACTGCCCGGCTTCTGGCCGGTTGGAGCTCCCTTCCCAAAATTGATGGAGGAAGGGGTGCCTTTAGGGGAGGGTGATCCTTTCTTACCAAAACTTTTGCTCTTTGATTTCCCCTTGCCTCTTGGGTTCTTGCCCTTAATCATGCTCATGGGATAATATCCCCTTGAAAGCTGCTTTGCGTGTGTCAAGGCAAAAGTCCTCACCTTGTCCGGGAATCCAAGGATCTCGTCGGATCTCCGCATCACAAGCTTGCTGTTCAACTTCGTCTGCCGAGTCATCGGCGTGCCACTTGCACCAACCTCCACTGTTGTACCATTCCTCCCATTCCGCGGCAATCCAACCATCCTGACGCGGTGTGCCAGGATTGCCACCTTGCGAGGCAGCAGGTTCCGGGCCTTCTTCTTCGACAAAGCGATTATCCGGTCTGGCCTGAGGTGAATGAGCAGGAGAGGAAAACAAGCGGCGAGGCTCTGGCGAGGTCTGACTGGAGCTCTGGGGTTGAGGTGAATTGGACTGAAGTGTGGAGGGCTTGCTGACGCCTTGTCGGCGTTGAAGGTCAGCTCTCTGCCGGGCCATAGCTCTCTGCAAGCGGGCATAGGATTCCCTCAACTGGGCCGACCACTCGGCAATCGCGGCGCCAGGTGCACGGCGTAGCCGATGAAAAAAATCTTCCAACCTAGCTCCTGTATCTGGGATTGGAGCTTTGCAAAGCCGATCCTCTAGGAATTGCAACAAATAGGCTGGGCCGTCCACTTCCTGCAGTCGACTGTGGTCCACCTGGGCGGAAACTAGCGACCAAGCTCTTCCCGTGAGGCGGGATGCGAGGTCCGCTCTCAAAAGGGTTCTCTTCTTGTATGGTGTCCTTTCGTACTGAAGCTGCTTTCAGGTCCACCTTGGTGGGCCAATGGTGTGAAGAACATGGTGTTGAATTGCTGCCGTGCGCTGCTGAGGCTCACGGACACATTGGCATTGTGGAATGCTCCATCAAGATAAGAAGACAGTTCAAAAGCTCCTCCGGGGCGCTGATGTGAATCGCTGGCAAGCCGTGGTCCAAGCATGCCAGACCCACAATGAGTTTGAGCGCATCGAGGGCTATAGTCCTTTCCAATGGGCGTTCGGACGCCAGCCAACTATGTCCAAGAGATTTCATGATGCTGGCTACGACGACCCGCGGTGGACTTCGTCCCCAGTTCCATCGAGCAACATGGCTGCTAATTTGAAGCTTCAAGTTCAAGCCCAACAAAACTTTTTGAAGCTCCAGTCACAAGAGGCCATCACTAGAGCTGCCAACTCCAAGACCCGCAGAGCTTTGGTTTTCCTTCCAGGTGATTTGGTTTTCTTCAAGCGCATCAAGCCACCAGCTCAGCCCCAGGCAAGCGCGCGGCTGGCACACAAGATATGGCGCTGGTATGGGCCAGCTCGCGTCTAGGCTTCAGAAACTCGCGCCGATGCTCGGGGTTCGGAACGAAAGCCCACTAGCATCGTATGGATTTTTTCCCACGGCCGCTTTAAAAAGATGTGCCCCTGAACAACTTCGACACGCCTCTGAAGAGAGAAGTTGATTGCAGTGGGTGCGAACGCCCGTGGCGAGCTGGGCTTTCCAGAACCTCACCCAGACCTTGTTTCGTGGAGACTTTGAGATTCTTGATCAACACATCCTCCCAGAAGACGAACAGTGCACTGGCGCCCCTCGGACTCCAGCTGCCCGAGGACGATCGAGAACACCTGCCAGGCGACCGGCTAGCCAGACCGCTACACCTTCGTGGAGGGAAAAGAAAGAAAAGAAGGAAAAGGCAGGTCACCGGTCTAGAAGCCCTCCACCTGTAGGTCAGAGTAGCTCTAGTGCTAGCCGGGTAGACCTTGATCGGTACCTCACCGATCCCGCGTATGCGCCAGCGCCGCATGCCACGCAGAGCAGCAATCGCTCGACCTCCGAGCTCTTCCAGCAGCCGATGTTCAAGAAACGTCGGAAAGAACTTGGAGTGAGCGACGCTGAAGAGTTTTTGGTTTCATCATTTTTCATGTCCGATGGCACCTCGCCCTTGGAAGGAATGGCCTGCGCCATCGAGCTCCCCATGCCTGACGAGGCCAGCGACTGGAGGCGCCTGAAACGCTCTCCCGACGCCTTCTACGCCAAGAAGATCAAAGGAGCAGAATTACAGTGGCACCTCTTGACAGTGGACCAGAAGAAGGAGCTCGAGGTCGCAAAGCAGGCCGAGGTGTCCCAGTGGTTTTCAGCTGCGGCAGTTCGCCGCGTGGTTGGACCGATTCCCACAGGGCGCACCGTCCGCAGTGGGTCCTGACATGGAAGGATTCCGGCGCTGCCAAGGGACGGATAGTCCTGGTTGGGCTCCAGGACCCCGATGACAAGACGGACTCGACAGCTGGCAGTCCAGCATGCCACCATTCGAAAGTGGCGCATCCTCAAAGCGGACGTGAAGGCCGCCTTTTTACAGGGTGAAGGCAGTGAAGAAGCCAGGATATTCGCAGTGCCTGTGCCGGAACTTTTTCGAGCACTCCACCTACCAGAGGGCCAGGCGGTTCAAGCTACGGCCTCGTCAATGCTCCCGCAAGCTGGTTTCAATTGTCCAATTCAAGACCTTGCTTTCTTTGGGTTTTGAACAGTCTAGGGCTGACCCATGTTTGTATTTTCTTTTTGGGCCACCGGATGACGGTGGGGACCGGCCAACCTATGGGTTCATCTGCTCGCATGTCGACGTTCTTCATTGGCGGTGACGAGGCCAAAGAGGAATGGGCAGAAGCTTTGACGGGTTTTTATGACCGCTATAAGCGGTCGCCCTGGGAACATGGCAGTTCTTGCATTGCGGCATTCGCCTTCCGGAACTAGAGGACTTTGGTTGTTGCTGGACCACAGTGCCTTCCCCGAAGGAATCGAGCAGATCAACTTCGAGAGCCGGCCAGACCATGAGTTGGCCAATGCTGATGGGCTCACTCAGAACTTCGTGGAGTCCTTGGCGCCTTGCAATGGCGCGCTCACCAGAGCAATCCTCTGATCTCCGCACGACTTGGGCAATTGCAGAGTGAGATTTCTGTGGCCACCGTGTCGACGCTGAAAGCAGCGAACAAGCTTGTGAGGGACAACTACCACTCACGCCGCATCTCGGCCAGGATCAATCAGCTGCGTGTGGACGACCCCCGTCAGGTGCACTTCATTGGCTGGAGCGACGCAGCGTTGGCAAACCGTCGTGACCTGAGCTTGACGGGTGGCTATGTCATAGCGGCTACGGCGCCATCCATGATCCAAGGCCACCGGTCACCTTTAGACCATGATCTCATGGAGGTCTTCGAAGCTCGCTCGAAAGGCCAGATCCTCTCTGGCCGCTGAGGCCCAAGCACTAGCAGAGACCGACCAAGAGGCGATGTACGTGGGCAGAGTTTTGTGGTTTTCCCATCGACCTGAAAAAGGTCGAGCTTGCTGTGAGCCGCGTCCCCACGGCACTAGTGGTGGACGCGGGAGCTTTGTATGATGTGCTCCAAAAGAAGGATTTGAATAGCTCGGCAGCAGGTTTGAAGGACAAGTTTTCGTCCTTGGAAGTTTTGTGCCTCCTTGAGTCACTGAGCCGGATGGAGACCACGGTTCGGTGGTCTGAGGCCCAACTGGCCGACGCTTTGACCAAGCCCTTTGCCACCGGGAGTGCTCCAGAAAGCGCTGATCGAGGGCTGTTGGACCTTGGCCTTCGATCCAACCAGCGTGAAGAAGCTTCGTGCGAAGGCAAGGGAGTTGAAGCCTGACGAGCGACACAAAGGTCAAGCTACTGGCAACCCCCTTGGGGCGTGTCAGTTTTCATGCTTGGAAGCCATTTTGAAGTTGAGGCATTCTCATGAATTGCTATCCGCATGACCTTTGGGCCCAATGTCAGGGACCATGTAAGCTCCTGGATGGAGCTGACCCGGTACGTGTGAGGAAAGAACTTCGCTGTCGCTGCGTTGTTGTTGGGGCCTTTGCAGTGGGCCTGTTGACCTTGTGGAGCTTCACGTGCACCACCCCTGATACAAGGCGTATCCATAGCTGTCTACCACATCCAGTTGTTCAAGACACTTTTGCTTGTGGTTCCCCAGCTACCAACAGATGCACAGCAGGGTGTTTTCGTTGTTATATGCGCTGTTATCTTCTATATGTTGTTGCAAGATGGGCTTGGAACCTTGAGGTCTTTTGCAATATGTTCACATCCTTTGTACTTCACATCAGACTGCACATTGGCAGGCTCACATGGACAGATTTCGCCAAGGGCAATTGAATGTTGAGTAGGTCACAACTACTGTTCAGTTCATAGGGACAACCCTTTCACTTTGCACATGAAAAAACTGCGCATTTTGATGTTCGCCATGAGTTGATGGCGCATGATGGCACGTGAAAAATTGAAAGAACCTGGAAAGCTTTTGGATGGCATTGACATTTTTATTTTCGACTGCGATGGAGTTCTTTGGAGAGGTGACTTTCTTATTCCCGGAGTTCCCAAAGTTTTAGACAAGCTGCGAGCTGATGGCAAGACGCTCTTCTTTGTGACGAACAACTCCACCAAGAGCCGGGCCGGATACAAGTCCAAGTTCACTTCGTTGGGTTTGGACGTGCAGCCAGAGGAGATTTTCTCTTCATCGTTTGCTGCAGCAGCATATTTGGAGCAGACGAAATTCAAGGACACTGGCAAGAAGGTCTACATCATCGGAGAGAAAGGTATTTCTGAGGAGCTTGATTTGGTTGGCATCCCCTGGTTGGGTGGTGAGGGAGATGCAGGCAAGCAGGCAGACATGGGTTCGGGAGGCAAAGTGGATGTGGACCACGACGTAGGAGCTGTGGTTGTCGGTTTTGACCGCCACATCAACTACTACAAGTTGCAATATGCCCAGTTGTGCTTGAACGAGTTGCCAGGTTGTGAATTTATCGCAACGAACTTGGACCGTGTCACCCACCTGACACATGCTCAGGAATGGGCAGGGGGTGGGACTATGGTGGCTGCAGTCTCAGGTTGCACTGGAAGAGAGCCGACACTTGTCGGGAAGCCTGCTCCACTGATGATTGACTACATTGCCCAGAAGTATGGCATCTCCGATCGTTCTCGCATTTGCATGGTCGGCGACCGCTTGGATACCGACATTGCTTTTGGACGCAACAATGGCCTCAAGACATGCTTGACACTCTCAGGTGTTACAAGTGAGGATGAACTCATGGATCGGGTGCCCCGAAAGAAAGGTACTGAGGGAATCCAGCCAGAGTTCTATGTGGACACGCTCCAAGACTTTCTCTCGGCTTCATGAACAAAACTCGAGTTGATGTTCTTGCGATTGGAAAGGTTTATATAAGATGGTTTAAGAGCTCAAAGCTGTCTAGGGTTCTGTGGACATACAGACATTCTCAAGCCATCTCAATGTCTTGATTGACCTGTCCCTTTGACTTCGCTGTGGTTTGCTGCCTTTGACTGTCAACATATCCCAAGACCTGCCAGGATTTGGCTGTCTTAAGTATGACAAGCCAAAATCTAGGTACATCTAGGATCATCTAGCTACTAAACGCACCATTAAAGGATACACACTGTCATCAGAAATAGACTGCATCTCTGTCTTGGCGGCCCACAAAGAACAGATACAGTAGCTTGAGAGGCAAGGTATCCAAGCAATCTGTGTTTCGATTTGCTCTTCTCATGCCTGCAATCAGCCACATTAGATATCACACTGTAGGAAGCGGCACGGGAAAGGGCAGTTCGTCCTCAGGACCTTCGGCTTGTTGAGAACTGTTTCGCAGGTTATGCTTTTCTGTTGCCTTCGCAGATTAGAAAGAAAACAGGTGGTTCTGACTGTCAGGAGTTTGTTTCCCACAAGAAAATTGGGAGGAAACGCCCAAGCAAACCATGTGCCTGTACTGGCACCTGACTTATAGTGATTTGCATTGCTCAAGCAAGCATAGCTTCGCTCCTCTGCAATGGAATAGAGTCGAGTTGAACAGACTCAAGCTGCAGAGAGGGGAGAGGAGCCAGGCTGGACCAGGTCTCAGCCAGTAATTATGCGGTTATTGCGTTCATTGTTTAAAGGTATTGTGTGCTTTCGGGATGGCATTGCTCACTGTGGAGGCATTGATAGAAGTGCGTCCCTTTTAGAGCGATGTTTCGAGCCAGCGACATCTTTGGCCAGGCACCTAGCCGCTAGGTCCTGGCGTATGTCACAGTGCCAAGTGGAGTGAGTTTTTCGCCCCTTTTCCTCAAGTGCTGGGTGTGGTGTTGAAAGAAGAAATCCTGAACGACGTGGCATTCACAAAACAGTGTAAAACAGTGGGATGCAACACTGTGCATGTAGGGCGGTGTGAAGCATGACACATAGAGCCCCTGGAGCCCATTGACTCCCTGGCCTCATAACAATTCCTGAAGCATCCTGCCTGCTTCAGAAGTGGCCTGGGGCTTCTGTTATGAAAGAACTTGAGACTTCCATATGAGGTGGTGCACTGTTCCTCCCTTCACTAGAACACTAGAACACTGCTGCCACTCATTTGCATAAAAGATTTTTGCAATAGACTTTGGAGCTTGGGCTGGTGCTGCAACTTGGAGTCAGGTGACAAAGAACACATCCTTTGTTCAATGCACCATGTTTCAAGTTTGTCTGCAAGCTGTTGGTTAATTTGTTACAATGTTCCATTTGTTGCTTCAAAAGCCTGGCAGCAGAGCGCATGTAGTCAGTGTGGTCATATATTCACAATCTCCTCTTTTGCCACCAGAGTATTCCTTCTTTTTGCCGGTCTGGCGCCAAGCTTAATCTGCCCACTACTGCCAAGAACAAAATTATGATTATGAGCCAAAACATGAATTGAACTGATATGTTGCTGACGAGCATAATTTGCTTTTCCCCGTTCTTTTGCAGCAAGCTTGTCCAGAGTTGTTTTTCTAGTGCCAGGTTTGAATCCAACGTCAGTTTCCATGCTTCAAGAAATTCCAAGATCAACCAACCAATATTGTGTGGTGTCTATCAAGTTCTTTGTTAAAGTTCTTCAAGGCCGTCAAGCAACATATTATCTAGCTCTTTTGCAGTGCACGTGAATTCAGGTCGACGGCCAGGCTCAGTGCCGGAGAAGCCAAAGGCCCTTCGCCCGAAAGAATGACATGGGAAAGATCAAATGTATGGACCCACGAGTGCCTTACACTACATGTGCACTTTACATACTCGAGGCAGCGAGCCTAGGACAGCCCATTACAGAAAAGATGCCCACAATAAAGTGCCAGAGCCCCAATTGCAAAGTTTGGCTTGACAAGTACATCTACTGTGACGTGGTAGTGGAGCTTCAGATACAAGCTAGCTACCTGCATAAGTTAGATATGCTGGCGACGACACGCAATGGGAAGAGTGGGGCCAATCCTTCAAGGCCTATTTGTTGCCACAACATAGAGTACTCAAGGAAGTAGAGAAACCTGCGCTGAAGCTATAAGACCGGCTTAAAGCCCAGCACCTCTACAGCCACAGGCAGTATGAAAAACATATGAGCAGCCAATGTCGAAGACTACACTAGCCACAGGTCCTGGGATATTGGACACCTGAACAAAATCTGCTAAGCGAGCACAACTGATGGTGGCCAACCTGTCTATCAAAGATGCCCTTTTCGATCGTGTAACATTCTTCAAGTTGCATCGCAGGCATTTGGCACGAGGGCACAGCCTGGCAAGCCAGGTGGACAGCGGAAACCCGAGCGAGGATGAAAGGTTCAAGGGCGGGCGAGCCCTGCCCACCCATGGCTGAATTTTGAAGCGTGATCTGGAGATATGGTGGCCGCCTTCAGGCTTCCAATTTTCCAGCTGGAAGCATGCCTGGGAGCATGGATGAGCATAGGTTCGCGGCATTGCTTTGCCCAGCAGCTTTGCGCAAATGGTTCAGCAACAGGACTGGACGTGTGCTTCACTGGTGTTGCGTGCTTGGCTTGCAACTCACCCCCTGCAGCTCAGCCAGGCAGTAGTCCAAATGAATTCGACGCAGTCACTAGCCCTTTCCTGCCAGGCTCTTCCTGCCAAGCTGGCTTGACACCAGGACAGTGAAGATGCCAAACGATTGGATACAAGTTTGCTTTTGAGCGCGAAGCCTAAGACAAAGCCTGCCTGCAGCTTGGCAGTTCAAGTCATGAAACGAAGAGGCGTCCCTGCGTCCTTTGCAAGCGGGTTCTGGTACTGAGGAGCTCTTTTTCGTTGGCAAACTCGGCCATTTCCAGGCCGCCCGAACATATTGCCGTGGCGGGGTGCCTGCAAAAGCCCGCATATTCAACCACGTCTTCTCATCCACGGAGCTTCATCAGGAGTCTGCGCCACGCCTATATAGATGCATCCATATCGCAAGGTCTTCTTTGTCGCTGGTCAGCCCTCTCAAAGAAGATGAAGAAAGCGCCTTGGCTAAGCAGAAAGCTCCGCTGCAGGCTATGCATTTCCTCTGGCGCTCATAGACATATTCATCAGCGATTTGGTTAGATCGAAGTCTGACCACGCTCTGTGAAGATTGCCATGGACTTGTGCAATGGACATTGGAAGTTGCAACACAGGAAAGAATAAGGTGAAAGGGGAAAGGGTACACTGGGGAAAGCCCAAGAGCAAAGGCAAGGCTGCAGCAAAGCAAAAGATTTGCGCGCCTACCAGCCAGCGCAGGAAGCCCGGTTGGCCAGTTGGCAGTACCAGCGCCCGAGGCAAGACCTACCACCGGCAAACTTGCCACAGTTACAAGTAGCAACAGCCGGCAGGAAGCGTAAAGTCTGCGTCGCTCAGACCTCCTACTCATGTCCTACGCCCATCGACCACGTTGATTCCACGCTGCGCTTGTGATTTGAAGCCCGCTCCTTTCAACCGCTTGGCGACTGGATAAACACTAGCAGCGGGCCCACAAAGGCAAGGTTCATTGATTCTTCTTTGGGCTTCTGGGTTCGGTGTAGGCGTGGTCGACATTGCCCACAGGCACAGGAAGCACCCTACCCTGCTGCCCGGCTGCCCTGTCTGTGGCTGTTCTGCGGGTATGAAGCTACAAGCCCTGGGATCTGTTTTGATGAGGCTCCATCTTCATCTGCATGTGATGTTTGAAGGCCCGCCCGTCAAGTGCACGAGCGCGAGTGTTCCACGCCATATGTGCGCGTGTGTACGTAACATGGCCTTGAATGCTCCCTATGGGGAGAGAAGGTGCCAGCTGCAAATCCTTAACAAAACCGTACAAACCCCAGCCACAAACTTTGGCTGAGCAAGTAAGCGCGTGCACTGTAAGGCGCCGAGAGAGGGAAAGACGGGAAAGACAGGAGTGAGAGAAGGCGGAGAGAGAGAGAGAGAGAGAGGGGGGGAGGAGAGCAAAAGTTCAGACACCACAGAAATCAACGCTGCCACCGTGACATTTGGCTCGCAGCAAATGTCAAAAAGGCCTTGACACCAAGTGCGCAGGTCGACGGGCCAGGCGCCACATTGCGCGAGGTTCCAACGTACCTTGCATGTGCCGGCTAAGTTGCGCAAAGCTCTGACCAGGTGCATGGCACCCAAGAAAGCAGCCCGACCCCTGCTGCCCATGCTCCAAAACGACTTCACCCGTGATGTGCTGAGGCCCCCGAGCCAGAGGAGGAGGTGAAGGCAGTGTTATTGTTGTAGATCAACCTGCGTTGGAGAAGCATGAAGTTCATGTGCACCTGAGGAAGAACCGCCTCCTGAAATCCTTCAAGGAGATTTTGTTTCGAACTTTGCAAAGTTCGTGGCACCTTTTGTGTCTATTTGTTCAATGTAAGCTTGAAAACTGGCGGTACTTGAGGTCTTTCCAGATGGTTCGACCTATTCAGGGCAGTACATGAAGAAAGGCGCCGGCCGGCCAGGGAGGGTGACAATATATGACAATATTTTGGTCAGGAGATACGGTGCAGGCATGAAACTATGTAGTACGTGCATGGTACTGCCATGTATTGCACACGTTTAAAAAATCAAAGGAGCCGAGTCGGGCCGAACTGTCACGACAAGACATTTTTTCAAGTCAGTGTTTTATAGGCGTTTGAAAACATGTAATCTGTTCGATCATTTTCCAACGCCAGGGGAGACAATCGCCATGCATGGTGAGGGGCTACTGCAGAGTGGGCCAGAGACCTTTGAGGCTGTAGGATGGACTCCTTTTTGCAAATTGGTTCCTTGATCTTCCTTGTTTTCGTAGTGACATTTGTCTCTAGTTTGCCAGACTTGAACGGTTTTCCACTAGAGTATTTTGCGCCGTAGGGTTCGTTCGACAATGGCACGTACAAGGCACAGACGCTGAGCAAATGTGGGTGGATTAGATATGATTATACA